ATTGGATATACTGCAATGTCTTCAGCAAAAACCAAACCTTCCAGCGGAGTGAGCTTTTGGGATCATTCGCCCTTTCCTCCTGTCGGCGGCTCTGGAATCGCGTCCAGATGCATGATTCCACAAGTCTGTCCGGAAGCATTTGGTGACATCCGGAAAGTTTATCCAGAGCTACCGATTCGACCGACGAGCTCTAGCACAAAGAAACCAGTGTGGAACGTTGGCCGTTTTGAAGCCCACGTTTTGCATACGTCTGGAATGTCACAAGCCCTTATCCAACGGGCCTTGCCGCGGTGATAGTGGAGCTTGAAAAGCCCGGGATCGCTTCTCTGCTGTCAACAACGGCGATGCTGGGGGTTGGGGGGGGGGGGGGTGGTTTGATCAGTGGGCCTCAAGCTGTCGGAAGAACAGCAGGGAATGCACGGAGGAGGTTGGGAGCTCTACTGCGATGCGATGCTCACGATGGACAGGGTTCCGCAAGGTTCAGAGTCGGATTTCATTCTCGAACGATGGAGAAAGTATTGTTGTTGGGGCCATTGCATCTTTTGATGTGACAGCACATCCAAAGCTGTCCTCTACATGAAGAAAGCCTTACATCCAAACCAGGCTCTCTGACGGAGAGCTCCGTACGCTGTCCAAACTTAACCCCCGTGCACACTCTCATCGTCTATCCAAACCCTGTGATCTCATCGCCCGCTAGCCAACCTCGTCCTCGTACTGATGCCCAATCCCCCAGCCGCGACATCTCTAGGTTTCCCTTTCCCCGGCGTTCCCTTGCCTTTGGCTTTCCCATGACCCACGCCCATCTTCACATCCACTCTCTCCCTCCACGCTTTCACCGTCTCATCTTCATAGCCCAATTGCGTCATTTGCAATGGCGCCTCTTCGCGGTCCGGATCTTCTTGGTGCGCGCTCCAGATGGGTTTGATATCTGCTCCATTATTACCGTGAGTGTTCCTATTTTTGTCGAATTTGGTCGTGTTTGATGATTCGAGTGGGGTGCCAAGACCGTCGGTGTTCATCGTATCAACGCTGCTGGCGCGGGAGAGGTTGATGCTGTGGGATGAGAGATTGGATGGTGCCCGGCCGAGGAGCTGCCGCCGGCGGCGGTATAGGCGTGGCTGTTCTGACGAGGAAGACGCTGATGGTCCAGGGTTCGTGGAGGCGCGCTGGTGGTGAGCCAGGAGGGATGAGATGGCAGGTCCGAGGGAGGACGACGAGGTAGGATCCGGTTTCTGGGGTGACGGCATTTGCTCTGCGGATGCGGACGGTTGAGGTAGTTTCTCCGGTGAGGTGGATCGTTTGCTCTGAGAGGTGTTGGGGGAGATTTCGTGGAGAGGACCCGATGCGGGGCGTAAAGTATGCGAAGAATCATCGTCGATGTTGATGTGGGCTGTCATGGTAGTGTCGTTAGTCGTCTTCGTGTCTGGTAGTCTGATGTGATTGATGCCCGATGGTCTCGTGGTCGACCCGGGTTTCGGTTGAACGACATGAATCTGTTCACTGGAGCTGGGTGTGTCTTTCATTAGATGTTTGTTCTCTCCGTCAGATGGCAATGATAGCTTGGTGGGTGTTTTCGATATCATATCTGTTCTTTCTGAGCTCTTCTCACTCTTGCGAGATATGGCGGATTTGTCCTGGGGAATTGGAGCCTCCGCTCTTCTCGGTATTTGATTCGGATCTCGAAGTGGCTGGATGAGATACGGTCCAAATGGGATAGACTCGCCTCTTCGGATACAAACCCACAGCCACTCTGCTTTCACTGCGGGAATACCCCAGAGTTGGGCGTAGAGCAACTTTTCGTGTCCAGGGGTCATCGCATTGCACAATAGGACGGACGCTTTGGGAGTAAGGAATTCATCGTAAGTGGCGCCCATCAACTTGACGGCTTTAACCATGTGCGGCAGATCTATGCCCTGGAAACTAGTGGAGCAAATTGTGAAGTCTTCGAAGCCTGCAATGGGAAAGTGCCGGAAGGGTGTGTTCGTCACACTTGCTTGAGGCTCTTCAAATTGCTTTCGGTACAGGCACCTCTCAACCCACATATCTGTCACCAGCACTGGCTGATGTTCGTTCTCAGATATTGAGGGTGAGTCGGGGTCAGAGCTTGTATGGGGAATCAGAATATAGGCGTTTCTAGGGGCACCATCTTTGGGTGCGGGAGGTAATTGGGAAGCGTCGTCGATGATCTCGGCCCCATGTGAACGCAAGTGCTCCTCGAGTATGGCAGTCTAGCTAATTATCATCCCCAGACTGTATAAGGAATGGGATGTTGCATACCTTCTTTCCGTCAAAACCACGAAGCAAGAATGTCTTCGCACGGAACAGGCCTTCCTGTTGTGGAGCTTTGCATAGAGTGGACGACAGGTTGGCCACGGATTGGCTTCTTTCCAAAGCATGGTAGCCAGCAGCTATCTGGCCGCAAACGGACACCTTTGCTTGCGCAGCGTCTGGAGACTTGCGGTGATCAAGTGTCTCTCTCTGAGGTTCACCCCACGCGTTCGCCTTAATCTCTTCAACCTTAAGCTCTCCACCATTGATCTCGCTCCACAATCCATCATTGTGACTGCTCAGCCTCGCGCTCGCCGTCCTTCTCAGTTTCCTTGCGTTTGGCGGGATGATCTCCTCGTCTCGCGCTCGTTTCCCCAAGGAAGTTGTCGAAAAGGATTTCCGTATCCAAGCATTTCTGCCACGCTCTGAAGCTGGAAGCAGTAGATCGTATAGACCTTCTTCCAGGATCATGCCCCTCTCAAGACTCTGCTCCAACCATTCGACGGAAACCGTTTTGATACCCCACTGACCTGCGTAACCGTACTTTGCGCCTGATGCCACCTTCGCGATGAGATGTGTGACGTCCTTTGTAAGGTCTCCTCGGTAATCGCCGCCGTTGTCGTTGATGAGATCTTCTAGCCCCTTGCGGTATACCACTGTGGTGAGAGTCAGCTTTTGTAATTTCACCTAATGCGCAGTCTTCATACGTACAATCATCGAATCCAGTAACGCAAATCCTAAGCCCCATCAAAGTAGGCAGTCTGTGTGCAAGCTCAAGAGCGAGAGTATCGGTTTCCCCGCCCTCCATCCATGATGCTCGTACAGCGTCGACCCAGCTCGGTAAAAGGCATCTAACGTCAGGCCGTTCCTTTGCAACGAACTTGTACTTTGGGGTGTCAGTGTCGCCAACGATTAGGTGGGTCACGTCGGATGTGAGGTCGAATTTGTGAATGGCGCCCATCTGGGACGCGATTACCGCCAACTGTGACTATTTGAGAGATTGAAGTTATTAGCAAGAAAAGCAGCGACCCTCCCTCTTATGGCTGGTGATGCAGCTGCTGAGAGGTCAGATTCACTTACGCGCCTTTCTGGTTCAATGGATGTGCAGCATATGATAACCCCAAGCAGGGGCAATTGAGTGTCTGCCATATTTGCGAGTCCACATGGAGTAAAATCATTGCGTTCCCTGCATTGTCGTTGAAGTCGCAAGATATGCTGCTAGATTCTCATCATGGTGAAGCGGAGAAGCGCGTTGAAGCTCGACCGAAGTTTACGCGCGAAACGAAGTCACGTGCCAGATATTGCGCATGGCAATCTTACCACGAGTACGGTAGGTGTAGCTTGTTCTTCTACGGTACAATGAGTTTATACTTTTATTCCGACATGAATTGGCAAGGTGGGAATAAGTCCAACGTGCAGGATATCAGACAATGGGCATCCTTCGCCACTGCTATGGGACTGGTTGGTTTTCCGTGAGTCGACGGCCTGACGGAGGGCGTTGATGAGATCACCTCGATCATGCCCACAAAACACCCTTAGGGGTAACTACAGGTACCTACGGTACTTTAGATGCATAGAAAGAGCCCCTTTTAATCAAAGCTTGGTTGAAAGCTCGGCGACCTTCTGGCGATAAAGTATTCTAGAACTACCTACCTTACGCGTGGCCCACAATCACCAGATGATACTTGTACTATACTGCATTCTGCTGATCCTCCTTTACTCCTCTTGTCAGACTTGTTTATTTTTGTTTATTTCGTGCACTCGTATTTTGAAAGCTTGTTCTGCTGATACAAATCAGTTGGAGAAAGAATTGCGGGTAATACGTGGTTGGTAACGTACGGATAGACTGTATAATGGTTTGTATTCGTAGTAGAGAAGAGTGCGGGGTTCTTCTGCGTCGGATGCAGTGTTCTGCCAGTCATGTAAAGTAAAGCTTTATAAGTAGAGACTCCATCCTCTCTACCTAGTGTTCCATCAATCATAATCATCAATCATCAATCATCAACATCTGGATTAGAGTTGACTTTCTGCCCGTGGCTCCCGAAAGCCTTCGTCGGCTGTGACGGTCTGATCTGAGCATGTGAGTGACCTCACCGCAGCAAAGGCCAAAGTCATGCATTTCTATTTTCCCATAACAACTGCATGGAGGTAGCATCCCGACCTCTCCTTCTTAAAGATTCCTTCCTCCAAACTTCTTTCAATCGAGTGTAATATGATTCCAAGAGACAGCTGTGCCATTTAAATCTCTCGAATGTCATCAATGACACGCATCATCTAAAATCCTGGGATTTCTCTTCACCCTGCCGATGCCGAGAACCTGCTTTTCCCCATAGCTTCAAGTAACAGTCCCTAGCCATTCCTGCACTCCTCCTGCAATTCAACAACAAGACCGGAGCCTTGGATCCTCCCATGACAATTGCTTCCTTCCGCGTCAATCCGCCTTCGTCCAGAGTGTTCGCAGCCTTGAAACGCCTTTAAAGCAGATACCCGCCCCTGGAAAGAGCAGAGCCCGTGCATACCTGGACCTGTAGCGACTCGCACTTGCTGTGTATGCCCCTTGCCTGTAGGTCCGAGACATTCCGTACGTACAACAAATTTGTTCTTGCCCCCACATCCATCTCTTTTGGGAATTGGCATTCTCCCTGTTTTGCTTTCAATGGGTCTTCAAGTCCATTACCTTGATTCATTCTACAAGTGTATGCCTTCACCTTCACTGACTTGTGAGATTCGTCATGACAGGCTACCTAGAGCTCAAATCCCGCCGCGGCCGCCTTTATTATCGCCCTCCTAGCCATTGTGCCCAGATTGACGGACCTCCATTGAGCTACCTTCGGTCTCAAGCCTCCCGACACCAATTGTTTCAATTCTCGCGAATATCCACGGATTTTCGCGTATCCAATCCTAGCACAAAGCGCATTTGGGAAAGCTTTGCAGGGAATACTCTGGTCAAGTCAAAAGATCAAGCGAAACGGCTTTTGCATTCCTGGTCGTCACCTGCAACAAAGCCACTGTCATCCATATCTACTCGCCACCCTACTTCTACAAACCTGTTCAGTGGAGCAGCCATGACATCTGCTGACGAGGCCAGGAGGGGAAGTGTGAGACCTACCTCCACGGTAGGTGGACCGATCAGTGGAATGATTCATCGGCCTTCGCTTGTTCAAGATGTACGGAGGGACTCCGCGAACTCACTCTCTAGCAATGGCAGCAGTGTCGCTACCATACCCAATATGGGGATGGAGAAGCCGATAGCATCAGGTAACGGCGTTTCCCTATCAATCGCATTGGCGGAACCAGTCCTCTTTCTACAAGGGATGGACCAGTCCGAGTTGGGGAATCAGACAACGACAATGCTTAGAGGAACCTTTCACTTAAGGGTGTCGAAAAGTGCTAAAATCAAGACAATATCATTGGCTTTCCGAGGTCGAGCTGAAACAGAATGGCCAGAGGGTGAGGCTCCATGCACACTTATCTTGCATATACGGCATAGGTCTAATTGCGTAATTTTAGGTATTCCACCACGGAAGACCGAGTTCAAGGATAGGGAAAGCATCATGAACCATACATGGCCTTTTTTCAACGCACAATTTCAGACAGCAGAATACGGTTCCGGGGCAGATCATGTCAAACCACTCAAGGGCCCGTCAACAACAACCACTGAAATTGGTGTCACAGATTCCTCTCTTGAGACGCTTCATCGGAAGTCAGCGAACAACAATTTAAGCGCCAAGGACGCGAAGAAGCTGTCGTTAGCAGTCGTCCAGTCAAGAAGTTTTGGTAGAGACGACAGAGCCAATGGTGGCTCAAGTGTTGCCCAGAAGGGCTATCGCATGTTCACTCCCGGGGATTACAGCTACAATTTCGAGCTGCCTATCGACTCTCGCCTTCCAGAGACAATATCTGTCGATCTCGGTTCAGTCAAGTACGAATTAGAGGCCACTGTTGAAAGAGCTGGGGCTTTCAGAGCGAACCTTGTGGGGTCCAAAGAAGTCACCTTGATCCGCGCTCCAGCAGAAGGGTCTCTGGAGCAGGTTGAGCCTATTGCCATTTCGAGGAACTGGGAGGACCAGCTACACTACGACATTGTCATTTCTGGGAAATCGTTCCCACTCGGCTCTCAGGTGCCAATCGCTTTCAAGCTCACACCACTAGCAAAGGTTCAATGTCATCGTATCAAGGTCTTTGTGACCGAGAATATTCAGTATTACACTACCAACAAGCGGGTCCATCGACTAGAGCCAACGCGGAAAATCCAACTGTTTGAGAAAAGAGCAGACGCGCCCAGCAGCAGTGCCTACCCAGGCAGCTCAGTACGTATTACTGCCGGTGGTGGAGTGGCGTATGATGGACGAGCAGCTGCGGCAAGAGGTGATGAGAATGTCCCTCGGGACACCAACAACCTACTGGGCAACCTGGAAGGCGAGCACAATGTCGGCCCAACAGAGATGGAGTTTAACGTACAACTACCGAGCTGTCACAACATGAAGGAACGAGACAAGCTTTCGAGACTTAATTTTGATACTACCTACCACGGTATTCAGGTCCATCACTGGATCAAGGTTCGTCTCATAATATGTTGTTGAAACTTCTCCCACTGATTTTGACGTGTACAGATTGTCATGAGATTATCGAAGCCCGATGTTGCCGACCCCACAAAACGAAGGCATTTCGAAATCTCGATCGACTCGCCATTCCATATCCTGTCTTGTCGTGCCACCCAAGCGAACATTGCTCTTCCCGCCTACACTTCGCCAGAATCAACTACATTACTTACAGAGCATTCTTCGTGTGGGTGTCCTGGTGCCCCAAGGCGCCGAAACTCTCCTTCGTCACTCCTACCATCCCTCAATAGTCTTCGCCAAGAAGGCAACAATGACTCCTCCTCAAGCGTCAACAGCGCTCCTGCACCAGCCAGCTTGACTAGACCTCAAGCGGCACATGTGCACGATCCCAATTCGGGTCAGATCAGACCGATGCATCTACTGCGCAACCCTTCGTTTAACCCACCTCCTTTCGAAGATGACGATCCACCGCCGCCATTAATGACCCCACCGCCAAACTATGAGACCCTTGTCGATGGCGACCCAAGAAGTGGGTTGGCAGACTACTTTTCGCGGTTGGCGGACGAGGTTGGCGAGGATGAAGACCGGTCGGGTACTTTATCGCCTGGGACGAGGATGGAGCTGCCTCTCACCCCGGGTGGGCGGATCAATAGGAGCATGGACGAGCGGCGAACCTGGTTGCCTTTAGGGCAGCCATTCACCCAATGACCCGCAATGAACAGCATGAACTCGATGAATGAATGCATTTCTGAATATGGAGGACATGGCTTGGGTAGCCAAGGAGTATATGAAGTATGGCGTACATGTTAAAGCAATGGGAAGATAGAATTCTTGTGGCATTTTTTCAGCGGTTTGTATATCGAAGGAACATTCCACTGTCGATATATGTATAGGTAGCATTCTTATAGCACAAAACTTTTACAATAGCCCGATTCGGCTGCGGAACTGTTTTTGGACTGACATGAGATTTCACCGAGGCGTACTTTATCTTATCTCTGCAAAATCCATAGGGCTGAATCCAAGCTGGAAAAAAAGCTCCCCTTGCAAAGCAATTTCTTCTCAGCTTGTTTCCCCTTCCTTCACCACCCTTCATGGCGACAAATCCAGCCATGAGGCCTCTACTGAGGCTAATCCACCAGAAAGGAGCTTCAACATTTGCTATAACAGCTCGGCGTAGCCTGACCACTCGCTCCACCACCCTGCATCAGTCACGCGCTCTAATCAGATCATCCATCTCACAGTGCCGGAGGTCATCATTACAGCAGTCCTTCAGAAGATCATATGCCGACACGAAACCGCAAAAGTACTTCAGAAGAAGCAGGATAACTCTAAGATGGTTATGGAGGGCAGTCTACCTGGGAGCGATTGGCAGCGTTGGATATCTGGGCTACACTATCTACCTGCTACGGACGCCTTCAGAGCAGCTCGAGGCCGATCCTACGAAGAAAACTTTAGTCATTCTAGGTATGGTTTATCAATAGGAGGGTGGGTCATAGCCATTGACGAGTTTAAGGCACTGGATGGGGCGCCGTATCTCTGCTCAAAAACATAGGCATGTCCCCCCCGACTTCGCCTATCTATCCAATTCTAACGCTACATGACAGACACTGAGAACTACAATGTCATCGTCATCTCCCCGCGAAACTATTTCCTCTTCACCCCCTTACTCCCATCGTGTACGACCGGAACCATAGAGCATCGATCCATCATGGAGCCAATCCGGAACATACTGCGGCACAAGCAAGCTACGGTCAAATACTACGAAGCTGAAGCTACCAAGGTCGACTATGCAAAAAAAGTCGTTTACATAAACGATGAGTCTGAGATCAAGGGTGACGTGATGTCCACAGAAGTGCCATTCGATATGCTAGTTGTTGGGGTGGGTGCGGAAAATGCTACCTTCGGTATACCAGGCGTCAGGGAACATTCATGCTTTCTGAAAGAAGTCGGCGATGCGCAGCAGATCCGCAAGAGGATCATGGACTGTGTTGAGACTGCCAGCTTCAAAGACCAATCACCTGAGGAGCGAAAACGCCTGCTACATATGGTTGTTGTGGGAGGCGGCCCAACAGGCGTCGAATTTGCTGGGGAATTGCAAGACTTCTTTGAGCAAGATCTTAAGAAATGGGTTCCCGAGATCGTCGATAACTTTCACGTCACCCTAGTCGAAGCCCTGCCTAACGTCCTTCCTATGTTCTCCAAGCAGCTGATCGATTATACCGAGAAGTCCTTCAAGGAGGAATCCATCACAATCCGCACTAAGACCATGGTCAAGAATGTCACCGACAAGACCATTGAAGCCGAATATACCAAGCCCGATGGCACAAAAGAGAAGGAGATCATGCCGTATGGTTTGCTGGTGTGGGCTACTGGCAATGCACTTCGCCCTGTTGTCAAAGATCTCATGTCCCAGATCCCGGCGCAGAAGGACTCACGCCGTGGCCTCGCAGTGAACGAATATCTTGTTGTCAACGGAACCGAGAACGTCTGGGCTGTCGGCGACTGCGCCATCGCTAATTACGCTCCCACCGCCCAAGTCGCCTCCCAAGAAGGAGCCTTCCTAGCCCGCCTCTTCAACTCCCTCGCCAAAACCGACACCATCAACAATGAGCTTGCAAGCTTATCTGAAGCGCAAGCCAAGGCTTCCGGGGACCAACGCACACAGATCTTCGACCAGATCAAAACGCTGCAGAAATCATTGAGACGCGTGAAACAGATTGGGCCGTTTGAGTACAGTCACCAGGGCAGTCTGGCGTACATTGGGCACGACAAGGCGGTAGCGGATATCAGCTGGTTGAGTGGGAACTTTGCGAGCGGTGGAACAATCACTTACTGGTGAGTCCTGGAATCCCAATCCCCTGGGCCTTTACTGTTACTGACCATATCTGAAGGTTCTGGAAAAGTGCCTACGTGAACATGTGCTTTAGCTGGAGAAACCGACTGCTAGTCTGCGTGGACTGGGTCAAGTCGTCTCTTTTCGGTAGAGACGTCAGTAGGGAATGAGAGGGAGGTTGAAGACAGGCTTCGGTGGCGGATGATTCTTCTTTCATGTTCTCGATACACTGTACTTTGAGACCTTGCTCCGGTCCCCGAGCCGTTGATGGACGAACCATCACATAGACTCTTCTTCTCTCTAGCGTTGTAATGCAGCACACCTTCTACTCGTTGAACGATTTCATCAGAGCCAACGAGCAGACACGCAAAAACAGAATCATCCCCAACACTCCAAGAACATCCAACGAACGGTCTCGGTTCGAAAATCACCTCCTTCCCAAGCCGCAGAACCCCATCTCCGTAACAGCGCCAGCTGCCCCGTTTCAAAGATCTCGACCGCCCCGACCCTCCCCTCTCGGAGAGCGTCAGTAAGGTACATAGCCTCGTCCCAGCGACTTTCCGCCCGCCTCCCGCGCAGTCGGTCGTAGAAGCGGCATCCGTGCTCTGTCGTGACGCATCGCCTCCGATCTACGCGGCCCCGGGGTCCTGCTCCGTACGGTTGCGGAACAGAAAGGGGCCTGGCTTCGGGGGATCTTGACGGCCTGTCTGTCTGTCTGTCTTTGTGTATGTAGAAAGGAAGGACTGCGGACTACCGCTCTGAGCGGCGGCTTTGCGGTAGTGTTGTTGGGATCGGACGGGTTGTCTTTCACGCGTTGGAGGAAGGAAGTGTGTCCATACGGAAGGATTGGCGTACCTGCGACCCAGATTCGGATCACCGGTCTTGGGGTCCATTTCCACATCTTTCGCTCTCTCTCTCTCTCTCTCCCTCCTGTCGGTTCTCCTCGCAGACAATTCTCTCCCTGCGCTCCATCGATCGCCGCCGCCACCATGTGCCACTATTCCCGTACCATATACCAACACGAAGCCTGCGGTTGGACGACCGACACGGTGCTAGTGTTCTGCGAACAGACGCTGGAGACAAGAAAGTAGCGTGCGAGGGTCCACAGACGGTTGTGAGAGAGCCGATGTATTGTGCTCCGTTCTGCCCTCTGCAGCCCGTCATCAACTTTATGGCCGGGCACGGTTTGTAGGGTGCTGGAGCCGAGGGTGAAGGGGTGGTGGAAGGGGGATGGTGACGGGTCGGGGTTTTTTCCTTGGACGAGCAGGCTCGGAAGGAGAGCGCTATCGCTGGACGGTATCGTTGAGAGACGGGAAATATGGATGCTTGGGACACACTCATGTAATGGGACTAATCGCCTTACGCTGATTCCCTACCGATCAAGCACCATCCTGGCCCCTGATCATGTCCCTGTTCAGCGTGATCTTCTTGAGTATCTCCCCAGCCCCTTTCTCCACCAACTCTTGTGCCATCCGCCACCCACACTCCTCCGCCTCTGCATCAGAGCTGACATAATGCCGCCTCGTCCCTTCAACGCACTCTTTCCCATCCAGGCTGACGACCATGGCTCGCATGATCAATATACCGCCATACCCTTTTCGTTCGGGGTCAGGACCTTCGGGAAGGGCGTCATCTTGTTCGTAACCGTTGTGGTGTTTATCCGCCTGCTCAACCACTGCGTCTGTTCCCCTACCGTCCCCTTCCTGCAGTCCCCCTTCCTGCAGTCCCCCTTCCTCCCAAACACACTCCACGCCCACCGGAACCGAGCAGCCGCCTTCGAGCACCCGGAGCAGGGACCGTTCCCCTACACACTCCCACCTCACCCTCCTCCCCGCCTTCCCTACCCTCTCCTCCGCCTCCGCCAAGATGCCTTCGATCCACTCATCGCCTTCCCTCCACTCCACACCGATCGCACCCTGCCCAACCGCATACAGAACCCCCTCCTCGCTCCCCAGCCAGCCGCTGATCCTTTCCCCCATGCCCAGCCTCTGCACGCCGGCACCGGCGAGGACGAGGGCGTCGAATCCTCCAGCGGCGTCGTCGAGCTTGCGGATCCGGGTGCCCACGTTTCCCCGCACGTCTTTGATCACGAGATGAGGGTACGTCCTCCGGATCATCGCCGCCCGCCGCACCGAGCACGTGCCCACCACCCCTCCCTCCCGCAAGTCGCCCAACCCCCTCCACCCCTCCCCCCGCCTCGCCGCGCTCATCACCACGGCATCCCGGGCCTCCTCCCTCGCGCCCACGGCGGCGCACACGCACCCCGGGGGTAGCTTCGTGGGCACGTCCTTCAGCGAGTGTACGATCACGTCCACCCGCCGCTCCCGCAGCTCCTGTTCCAGATCCTCCGTCCATAACGATTTCCCGGTCGAGGCTAGAGTGTGGAGGTCTGTCGATTTGTTCGTGTCGCCGAGAGATGTAGACGTTGGGTGTGTGGTGGTCGAGAGGGTTGGGTGGGAGGTCCGGAGGAGGTCGGTGAAGAGTGCCACTTGCGCGAGGGCGAGGGCGGAGGAGCGAGTTCCTATGCGGAGGGTTCGGGGGGTGGAGGTGGGGGATGCGGGATGGGTGGATGTGGAGCCGGAGGGGGATGCGCGGGGGTGGGAAGAGGTGGTTGAGGGGTGATTCGTGCTGGTGCGAGGGAGGTCGGCCATTGTTGTGTGTGAAGGTCGTGGAGAGGATATATGGGTGAAGGTGGTGGGTGAGTTGAGTTGTGCTACCTCATGCGGTCGTGGCAATTCGAGGGCAAGACGCTACTCGGTTGAAAAGTTGTTTTAGAAAGCGGAGGTAGGATTGAGCAGCAGAAACGGCGTTAGATATGTATTTTCCTTTGAAGTAGAAGTGTAGGCAGATTACTGAAGCGGTGTCGGTTGTCAAGTACGTTGCTTACGCACACTAGGCCTACTCTTGTACTCGATGTCCTGTTGAGTAAGGTTGAGTAGTTCGAAAATACTCGCGGCTTCTTGAGCTCTCTCTACATGGCCTACTGTATTATTCCCTATGCATTGGTGGAGGAGACTCGCCCTCTGACCTTTGCCTTTGACTTCAACTCAGCATAGGATTCGTGTTTTTCAGTCATTAATTTCTATTGCTGCCAGTGTTTTCAAAGCCAACCATCGTAGGTTGTAAAAACGTTCAAGACAGACAGTATATAAAGTAGGCTTTGAAGCAATCCACCCCATTCAAAGACTGTAGTGTGATATTCTGAGAAAGGTGTCCGAAAAAGAATCGAAGTCTTCTCTTTAGCTCACAAATCAATCTTGAAGCACACAATTCCTGCTGGCATTTGGAAAGCCGCTGTCCATTCTACATTCACTTCTGCATTCAGACGAGAACCTGACCTTGTTAGCAGATTACCTGCCCTGTTCAATAGCCTTCATTTCTTCACCTCTCATATTGTTCAGCATATTCCGTCATCAACAATCACCGACTACTACACCCAGACGATTGAATTAAGCAACCACTACGAGCAAAAACATGCAAAAGAAGATGAATGCCGAGTGCGGTGCTTCTGGGCCGGCTGGCATCATTGTAGTCGGCGATCATTCAAAGTGAGCTGAACCGGCGTCACCATGAAGCACTTCAAACATTGATACAGGATGATGGAAGCCGCAAAGACGAACCCATATCTTGCAAAGCTCATGCCAAAAATGCTCGTCAGCGATAGCAAGAAGTGAGTCTTCTGCGATTTCTTGTAGAGCCATAGCTGTACTGACGGAACGAAGACGGGCTTATGCAGGCTCTTCTGAGCCCAAAAACAAGGCAGAAAGTATGCAAAGCAGGGACAACTTGTGAGCTATTTCAAGCTGATTCAGGAAAGTGTACGAGAACCGGAAGCAAGCTATGAAGTTAGAGGGGGACAAGAGATAAGGAAACCGGATCTGGGAGGTTGTTTGAGGTCGTCGTCATTAAGGATAAGTAGACTAGGCCACTGCAAAAATGGATCGAGATCAGCGCCGTCAGGGACGCGAAGATGGCAACTTTTCAAAAGAAAGTTCCTAATGGGCGACTCAAAGGTAAAGCTAGAAGGGAAGCCGGACTTCATGAAATGCCTCCAGCCACTGCGTCTTCCGCCTACACCAAGCCAACCGAAACTGAGGAGGAAGCCCGGACGTCTGGTTGAGCCAAAGCCGAGACCCAGGGCAGTCAAGCGAAGTCAGACCATCAAAATCCAGCTCTAATGCTTGCTGACATCTTTTAAACACGACAAAGGCTGTCTCTCCTCCAAGAGAAGTAGGTCCGAAGAGCACGAGCACTGTCGGCCCTGATGGAGTTACAAACCCCAATTTACGTCGAGCTCGGCTGGTTAACATAAGCCTGGCCAAGGTCCGTGCCGAAGCAGCTCTTGGAAGGGGGTTCGTTCCATACTACCTTGGCCGTGAATGCTCATTAACAGCAGACAGTGCCTACAATGGCGCTGACAGGAAAAAATGAGGAAAGGTCGTCAGATGACAAGGGCCTGGTGCATCTCGATGTTGCTACGACATCTGCAGCGACAATGATCGCAGAGAAACTCAAAGAAGCTGTCGACGCTGAATCCGTTGACGCGTGAGCACTTTGGCTTCATCAAAGTCAATACCGTCGAGGAGCAAACAATTCTCCTTGGTTTGTACCAGGGGCTCCTGATTCACCTCCCCAACCCGCCATGCACGGAGACCGTTCAAGGTTGGCAGGAGAAGACTAAGATAGCTGGAGGCATCTATGATTCACACCAGAGCCAGCATGGACGCGGCTGGTACTTCAACTGGTGCAAGTACCACCAGCACTTCGTCGACCAGACGTACGTTGATCCGCATAACGGAATGGATTGTCCTTCAGTGGAAGAGCGTCCGGACTCATCATTATCCTGGAATAGCTATGGCCATCGAGTATGATGGAGGACAAGGTCCGGGCATGAGCAATCATCTGTGATTTCCAAGCAGCACAACCGTGGTGTACCTAGCTCTTAGACTTCGCTAGACCGCATGCTGCTCACACGAAAGTCTACGACTAGGGTTTAATTGATTTTGCATGATGCCGTGGTCATTGTGACCTTCGTAATCATTGGTCTTGCCGCCACTGATGAGAACTAACATACCTAGCTGAGACACGATGCGAAAGCCTAGCGTGGATGCGGGTCGAGGCTCTTCTTGTTGCGCAGCGCGAGGCAATTGCAAACAAATTGACAGGAGAGCCGAGAGCTTCTAACCAACACATGAAGCCGACTTTGCAACAATGCGGCAACCTTGACGATAGTGCGAGGAAAAAGCGATGCGTTCGTACGGCAAGCTGCGGATTTATTTGTGATGGTGAGACCAGAGAAGCGGCCGGTCTCGCGAGGCAAAGCGAAACGCGTGTTGCAACTACATTACCCACGCCGATGAACACTCACAGTCATGTTGGTTTGCATTGCATTGATTTGCGTTTGCATTGCATCATTCGCGCTGGAAAAGCATCCTTCTTGCGAGATTCGGACTGACCGCCATGTTAGGATCGAGTTGACGCGAGTCCGTTCTCCATCCAGCAGGAGCAGGCTGTCCCCGCCCGGCAAAGATCCGAGACATGGCAGAAACTTTGATCTCCTTTCATCCATTCTTGGCTGCCATACTTCCGGAGTCCGCAGTTGGTTGTCGAGGATAGGACGGTGTGTGGTCGTATGGCTCCGTAACTTGCACCGACTAGTCCTGGTGTCGTGTACTCCGTACTCCGTATAGCAGGATCAGGATCAGGATCAGGGTATGTGGAAGCGCACCTCTTGTTTGCCTATCCTATCTGTGCTGGTGATCATAGATTCATCCGTTTGGGCAGACGTTGCAAACGCAGGCTGCGGAAATCATCGAGGAATTGTTGGACCGAGGTGGGCCTCGGACATTTGAACCCCACGGGCTGGCGCGCCGCTGGTCTCCCCATTGGTTTTTGTACGGAGTACATGAGACTTGGATATCCTCCGACATCATCATCAGCATGACGCCTGTCAGCCTACATTATGATTGTCGTGGCGCCTCCCTGCATGATAGATTATTGCTTCTGCCTGAAATGTGACTGTGAATGTGTGTGTAGAGTATGTGTATGTGGTTCCAGAGGAAGCACTAAGCGATACGCTGCAAGTGGAGTTGTCGATAGTGCATTATTGCGCAGCAGGGAACCTGTAGCCTGTGAAGTCTGGTTGATGAAGTGACGGAAGATTTTCGATACTTGGTGTATTTACGGTGTACGGTGTACGGTGTACGGGATCATCATACCTAATGTAAGTAAGCAAAGACAAAAATCACAGATTTCTTTTCTTGGCGGGCAGGGGAGCTTTACTTCTTGAGGTAATGATGCACATCTCTGGGGGCCAAGCTTGTCCCGCAAGCGCTTTTTCCTAAGCGGCAAAGATGAGGGGCTCGATTCATCGAGGGGCAATTTTGGCACCAGGGAATTTTAGGACTTTCAGGACTGTGCAGCCTTGCAGCATGCACCCGGCCGACTTGGAGACCCCCCCCCATAGCCTACTTTACTCTAGCCCCAGCCTCTTCCCCCCTTTCAACACCAATCAATTACAATTCACCTCCACATTATTTACACCTGTCCTTGTCCCTCAACCCCTCAGCAGAGCGATAAAGCGCACATTCCTACCGACGGTACTCTAAATTTTCAATCAATCTCACTCACCGCACTAGTCAGCGGTACTTTTCGCAAGAGTGGGAAACTCTGCAGGTTTTGGCCTCGCCCGAACACCACCAGATCCGACCGCCCGCGGAAAGAAGAAGAAGGAAAAAACCATAGTTAGAGAAAAAAAAAAAAAAAAAAACATACCCGAGGCCAGCGTAGCCTTTCGTATCGCAGTCGGACCTTTCGGCTTTTCTCGTGACTGCCTCGATTAATGCAATTCATCATCGGTCTGAGCCATCTTCCAGCTGACCCAGGGATCATCATCCACGCATGCCCCTCTTGGCCTTCGCAAAAGAAAATGATCATCCCTGGCACGCCTGGAACTTGGGAACATGCTGTCGTGGCCTCAATCGTTCTTCGCCTTCTTTTAGCCTCGTACCATCCAACTTTGTTCCGCAACTCCATCACCCATGATACACTTTGATTGGGGCCTAGATGGACGGGCGTTTACTGATTGCAAGGCCACTGCCGCTGAGACGTCCCACCTTCCCTGCTCTTCCGATTAGTCTGCTTGCAGTATCGCCGTCGGCTGCATCGGTTTCGGTGCACTTCTTCTCCCTTCGTCGGTACAGCACATCCAGGACGGAGACAGCAGATTGATGATGACGACCCCCTTCCCCCCCTCCAAAAGCGACACGCCTCTCGTCACGAGTGACATGTAGGATCAAGTCAGCTTGTAACAAACAGGCTAACACTCGTCGCTTCTTGACACCTCATCTAAACGTCTTCCCATCCATGTTTGTATCATCACGGCCCCAATTGACACAACAGGACCGTTGATCCCTAGTTCCTTCGGCTGGCACTTGCTTACTGCAGTGTGCTTCGGATTTCCAACAGCCTAGCGTATTATTGATCTCCACCGCCGCTCTTTATTGCTGCGCCAGGGAGGATTGCGAGTTTGTCAAACGTCGCATGCCACATGGTAGGCTTTGTTGTTCGTAGAGTAACACCGCTCGTGCATACGAGACTTTTGAGTTGTGCCGAACGAGGACCGCTCAGATGATGGGGCTTGGCCACAGATGCGTGGTATTCTCGGCAGCATGAGGCAGCATAAGTTTATTAGCTTCAGAACCAACCAAAGTCTTTGGTAAGACATTTGCTTGAGACAAAGACCCGATGACCGCCACCGGCATGAAGTCAGTTAGCCAGAGTAGTATATTTTAGTGGATCGAATTATTTCGACGGCATGAGGTGCTTTTCTCTCTACTATCTTGATTTTTTGGAAGCGGGAAGCCTGGAAGGAAGATATGGGGGAGAGGCTAAAAGTTGGAGTCCTGAAGACAAGTGGGTAGCCTGGGGGGGCCGAACAGGGATTTTGATTCGCCAATCAGCGCTGCTTCCGCGCCCAAATCTCACACACATTTCACACGATTTTACCAAAGCACTTGCTAGCGAATTAATGCCATGGCCCAAGCCTGCATTCCTTTCAAACCAGCATCAGCTGGTACATTGATTTCCCGCAGTCCGTTTGATGTTGATCCCGGAAAAAGATCCAGATCTCTCTTCGCGTCTTCGCCTTGCAGCCTGCGTCATGCCCCCTACATTACATGAGACCAGGAGTTTTGTTGGAAGCTGAATGTTTTGATGCCTATCAACCGACTTCATTTGGGCGCTATTATCTAAAATCACGGGGATGACATGGGATGCAGGCTTGCTTGCTTGCTTGCTTGCTTCGCTTCTCCCGTGCTCTATGCAGAGACTATAATAATAACACGGTAATGATAACAATAGGTAATCTACAACTCTAGTCGCGGTCGTCTCGTAGTCCTTGAATCCTGATGTACCTAGCGATACGACCGTACGAGATCACCAACTCTGACACAGCAGGCACCATTTTTTTTTTTTTTTTCGCAACCTCGCTTCCACCCACCCCCACCTGTCTCCTGCTTTCTCTAGACCACTACTCTACTTCCCTCCTCTGTAGCCTCTCATCAGTCATCACTCGGATATGAGTGCAAACAAAAACGCCAATCAGCTTCCGCCATCTGCCACTTTGCCTTTCACTGAATCACTTTTTGCTTGTCTGGCGGCAGTGGACCGGTAGCCACCTTACCTGATGTAGTTTAGACCGGCTATGCCTTTGGCAACCCCGGGCAGCCCAAAGAGCCAAAGAGCCAAACGCAACACTTCCGCTTAGCTGCTAGCATCAGACATCGTGTAAAAAGCAACAAGGCTCCTTGATTCAAAGCCGAGACTGTACCGTAGACAACACCCCCCCGATTTCTTTGCAAGGGCCCTTTCTTTTATTAACCACCACTTATTAATATTGCGTGTTCAGATTGACACCTCCACCGCGGCACGCCGCGTTCGGTACACGATGGCTCGTGTCATTGGGTCTGATACATAGCTCGGTCGCCCTTGCTACCCTTTGTGCAATGGGATGCATATTCACTCTACACACTAGGCAGTAATCATCTTAATCCCTTCATTATCCGCTTTGGTGGCTCTAGCACACTATTGAAAGCTTCAATCACCCGGAAACACACTTTTTCTCGCCCCAAACTCCTCTGCTTGCTCCCAAGAAAGAGGTCCCAGACCACACTCGAATTTACACCAAGAGGGATCAATGATCATCAGCCTCCCCTTTTAAGCTTGGAACATTTGGAAGAACCTTGATTGAAACCGCTCTCATATTGTGCCGGATGAGCAACACATCATCATCCTTTCATTCCCTTAATCAGTCTTTTGACCTTACTACCCTCTCTTAATTCCATTCTCCAAACGCCTCTGGTGCGTCTCCCGGGATATGCACTTTTTATTAATCCGTCCTTGTACGACACACCTCCCCTACTAGGTCATTTCTACTTAGATACTTCCAAATTCATCACTAGCTCTCATTCTCCCTTATTCTGAACCACAACAAAAGGGAAAAGACAGTTGAAAAAGCTTCATTGCTCCTGTCAATGAGGCTCATGGCCA